ACAAGCAAAAAATTTAAAATAAGGTAATGGAAAGGAGTAATTGTGGTCCCTGTACATCCCTGTACATCTCACTTTCTTTTGTTTTTTGCAAATAAGTCTTTAAATGTTTATGTGCTTGTTCAATTATCACTTGTCCTTGAGGGTTATAGGGAATGCCAGTTTTATGAATTATATTCCATTGTGAACAAAATTTCTGAAAACTTTGGCTGACATAAGCTGGCCCACTATCTGTTTTAATACACTGTGGAACTCCCATATAAGAGAAAGCAGCCAAAAGATGTTTAATTACATCTTGTGCACACTCCCCCTTGTGAAGGGTGGCTACTATATAATGAGAATACCTGTCCACAGACTCATGTACATATGATAAAGTTCCAAAACTTGAAATATGCGTGACATCCATTTGCCAGATATCGTTGGGACGTAGGCCATGAGGACTAACACCTAATGATGGTACATGAATAAAAGGAGTACAAGTGGTACAAGTAGATACAATTCTTAAGGCCTCAGTGCGAGTACAGCCAGTACGATGCTGTAATGTTTGTGCATTGAGATGGAATTTCTGATGTAATTGAAATGCCTGATCAAAGGTGGTGACTACACAAGTGAAATGAGTAGCTACATCTGCAGCAGCATTGCCTTCTGCAAGCGCTCCTGGAAGACCAGAGTGCCCTCGAATATGGCCCACAAACAGAGGATGTTTTCTAGCCCAAATTAACCTTTGAATGGCCTGTAATTGAGAATGTACTGCAGACTGTTTTCCAGTGTACGGAGTGGTTTCAATACTATGCACCATTTTGGCCACATAGCAGCTATCAGTATAGACATTTATAGGTTCTAAAGAGTAAACTTGCAAAGCCAATTGTAAAGCTGTAATCTCAGCTTTGTTGTGCAGACATGGAGGGCACTGCCACCCACGTTACTCATCCCCATTGATGGCCACAGCAAAACCTCCTTGAGATGCATCAGTAAAAATTAAACGAGCACCCTTAATAGGTTCCTATTTTACAATATGGGGAAAAATAAAACTACACACTTTAAAGCTTTCTATAAGTTTATGTTTTGGATAATGATTATCTATATAGCTGTGAAAGTACACAAGAAAAGGCACCAAGCTTCATGTTCTCTTTGTAAATAAGTTAACATTTCTTGTGTATAAGGGAGTACAATGCACTCAGGAGACTTCCAAACAAGGATTCCCCCATATATTTAGCTTTCCATAGGAGTTGAATTACTAATTCATAATATGCATTCAAACTTTTAGATGGGGATGCAGATAAATGCACCCAAAATATGGGCCCTGTTTGCCAAAATACTCCCATAGGTGAAAATTCAGAGGGAAGAATTAGCAATAATAAGGGTTTGGTATAATCTATTTGTTGCACTTGGAGTTCTTGTAGTGCTTGTTCTACCTTTCCTAAAGCGGCCTTGGCTTCCGCTGATAGGGTCCTTAAGGAAGTCGGAGAAGAATCTCCTTTTAAAACATCATAGAGAGGCTTAAGTTCTCCGGTGGGTATTTGGAATGAGGGGCAGAGCCCTTGAATTTCCCCTAAAAACCTCTGCCAATGATGCAATGTCTTTAATTCTGCAATATGAATTGTAATTTCTGCGGAAATATCCCTACAGAATTTATAGTATATCCCAAATATTGATAAGGAGCCATATTTTGTACCTTTTCTGGGGCAATCACTAACCCTGCAGCTGCAAGTGCTTGTTGCAAATCTGCATAAACTTGTAATACAGTCTTGGGTGGATGCTGCCAATAATATATCATCCATATAATGTATAATATATACATATGGAAACTTTGCTCTAATGGGTTGTATGGCTTCTGCAACATACTTTTGACACATAGTAGGGCTATTAGCTATTCCTCAAGGTAAAACAACCCAATGATACCACTTATATGGTTCTTTATAATTAATAGAAGGAACAGAAAATGCAAAACGCTGGCAATCTCGCTGAGCCAAAGGAATAGTAAAAAAGCAATCTTTCAAATCTAGCACTATCATATGCCAGTCTTTGGGAATAGCAACTGGGCTGGGAAGGCCTGGCTGAAGAGCCCCCACTAACTGCATAGTGGCATTTACTGCACGTAAATCTTGTAAAAGTCTCCATTTTCCAGACCTTTTCTTGATAACAAAAATAGGAGTATTCCAGGGAGACGTGGAAGGGACAATATGCCCTGCCAACAATTGTTCCTGCACTAACTCATGGGCAGCCCTCAATTTTTCTGGTGGTAAGGGCCACTGATCTACCCACACAGGCTCATCAGACAACCAAGTAATAGGTGTGGGAGAAGCCCGCACACCAGTGACCCATACTAAAAATGCCCTAAGCCTCTCCGATCTCCAGGTAGTCTGGTGACCTCATCGGCAGCAGTAAGAGCAGCAACACAACCCTGGTCTGCCTTTCCCAGCTCTTTTCCTGGTGTCCATCTCATATCCATCATTATGTTATTAATGAACGGATTTTCTCCCTTTAGAGCTTGAGTAGTGAGAACCGCTCCCATGGTTTTTAACACATCTCTTCCCCACAGGTTAGTAGGTAAACCTAATACAACGTAAGGTTGAAAATGTCCTTCATGCCCCTCCTGATCACTCCACTTCAATATGCAGGCACTTTTCTGTGGTCTGGTCTGTCCTATGCCCTTTAACACTGCTGTAGAATCCTCCAGAGGCCATTGTGCAGGCCAGTATTCTTTGGATATAACGGATTACATCTGCCCCAGTATCAAGAAACCCACAAAAGATTTACCTTGAATTGTTAATTCTAATTTAGGCCTAGAGTCTAGGTGGGCTACCCAGAACGCTTGAGGAGTACCAGTGGACTCGAAACCTCCCTTTCCCCGGGCTACACATAAACTTCTATTTTTTGTAGAAACAATAGGAAGCAGAAGTAGCTGAGCTATACGCTCCCCTTGCGGGATCACTAAGACCCCCTGTGTTGCCTCTGCCATGATTTTTATCTCTCCCTCATAGTCATTATCTATCACTCCAGGCAAAATCGTTATGCCCTTCATATATGCACTACTTCTACCCAAAAGCAGTCCCACAGATCCTTTTGGTAAGGGGCCATAAACTCCAGTGGGTAGTGCTTGAGGTCCCATTTGAGGGGTTAAGATTGCTCTGGCGGCAGAACTGAGGTCCAGTCCTGCACTTCCTGGTGTTCCTCGACTGAGTTGGTCAACTGAAAGGGGTTGTTTTGTGGAATGAAATGGAGGCATATTGCCCTGCACCTGCCAGCATGTCATAATTCCTCTGGGGTTGCCCGACCCATGCATTAATGCGTGCCAGCTCTAAGCATCTTTCATGATTCTCACTTTTCCACAAGAGATAATCTCCTCCAGACAGGGCAACCCGGCATAATTGCTGCCAGTCGCTAGGTGTTAGATAACTGGCTGAAAGGGACTCAAAAAGTGTCAGTGAATGGAGCCTATGGACCATAACTGCTCACTGCTTCTTTTAATTGTTTCATTTCTTTAAATGTCAAAGGTACATGATTCCTGACGGCTTGTCCGGCAGCATTAACAGTTTTGGAAACGGGATAAGCCTGCACAGAATCCTGCCAGATAACTCCCCTACATTTCCCTTCCTCCTTATCACCCTGATTGTCCCTATCCAACCAGTATGGATTATGAGAAGGCGGACGACAGCAGATCGGAGCTGAAGGCTCTTTATGTTTTACTTTCATTTTCTGCAGCCGCCGTTGTAATTCTTCAATCTCTTTCTCTAACTGCTCCTCCTCATCCAACAGCTCATATATAGACTCAAGGTCACTCTCATCATCTTGAACTGCAAGTCTCTTGCGGGTTTTCATAGCCTTCTCTTCCTCCTTTTCCCCTTTTAAAGATTCATTAGTTTCAGCTTCCTGGGCAGTGGCAAAAGCCTGCTCACATTCTGCTAATTGTTCCTTCACTTTCACCTTGTCAGTTAATAACGCATCCTTTACCAGCCTCCAAAGAGAAAAGGCTGCAATAGGAAATTTCTCTGGTCCCTTATCCTGCAATACCTTCTGTAGATCACGTTTCACCTGTTCCCAATCAGGGATATTCAACCCTCCTCCTGTCAGAAACCATGGACTTGCTTCAGCTATAGTGTCCACAAATGTGAGTGCGGTACTAGACCTAATCCCTGTTCCTTGCTTACTTAACAATTCCCTTACCTCAGTGGCCAGCTGAGCTTTTGCAGTAGAATTACCCATGGTACATACCAATGTTTCAGTCCTCCACCCCTCCTTTTAGGATGAGCCTCGTTTGCTTACCCCTCTTTCCAGGTCTCGATGGAACCCCCACTTGCTGCAACCTGCACAGCCGGAGACCAAGAATTGGCGAGGGACGTCGAGGTTAAGCAGCACTCAGGACACACCGTGATTCATCATCCAAAAAGAGCTCCTTTATTGACTATCCATCAGCCTTATATACCTTGCTACTTCCTACTCTCCATGGGGTTAGGGTACGGTCCTCAGGTTCCCATCCGCGTCCCAGCAGCTCAGCCAAACACAAAAACAAGCAAATCAGCAGAGAGCTGATTCTCGAAACAATGTTCCAGCAATAGCTGTTTCGTGAACATCCTGTGACTTACTGACCACAGGAAAAGAGAAAGAACAAAAGGGCACCTTAGGGCAACCTAGGGCAAGCAAACAGGCTATGCCCAAGGCCTGTTCAGCGTCTGCTGCCAACAGGCTGATAGCTCAGGCAGATTACTAACTAGCTCTTACACTTAAATTAACCCATAACTCTTATCTGTGTTTAGCCATGTGGCTTGGTACCTTTTCTCAGTACAGCATTCTTGTCTGGCTTTCTCTGCGTCTGGCTGGTGACTCCTGACTCCACCCTTCTTCTCCCTTACTTAGTTTGGTTGTCCCGCCCATACTTCCTGCCCAGCTACCAGCCAATCAGCTTTATTACTAACAATAAGAATAATACATATTATTCTCATAGTATACCAAAAGATGGTTCCACAGCACAAGGTTGTCTTTGTTTCTCTTCTAATTTAAAGGGAGAGTGTTTATCCCCAAAGAAAAGCCAGTAGAAGCTCCTAAAGAGGAGAAAGTGACTCTGGACCCAGAACTGGAGGAAGCCTTGGCCAGCGCCTCCGACTCTGACCTCTATGATCTTGCAGGTGAGTTCTTGGGGCTGTCTGGAGACCTCCAGGTGTGCACTCACTCCCCTGGTGCAAACCTCGGAGCTTCTGGTAGCCGGTGAGTACTGTGCTGCCAGGGTAGCAGCAGCCCCAGTTTATCAAGACCAGATCCTGTGGCTGAGCAACGTTTTAACCCATTCTCATGTTCAGATGATGCCCATCCTACAAAACTCCTGTAATAAATGGAGGAGAACAGATTTGAAATAGTATGGAGAGCTTAAAGAAATAAAATTGTACAGTAGGCATGGTGACCCATGCCTGAAATGGTAGCACTATAGCACTCTAAAGACTGAGACAGGAGGATTGTTGTGAGTTTGAGCCCAGCCCGGGCTACAGAATTAAGAGCCTATCTCAAAAGAAAACAAAATTTAAAATGAATGAAATAATATCCCCATGTGCTCTCCCAGGAGCTTCCACATGAAAATGCACTTACAGACTTCACATTTCAGAGTCATGTTTCCTTCTGTTTGGTTGTTTTAGTTTCTGCTTTTTGAAAGAGTTGCTCTGTGTAGCCCTGGCTGTCCGAGAACTCTCTCTGTAGACCAGGCTGGCTTCTAACTCCTGAGTGCTGGAATTAAAGATGTGTACCATCACCAGCTGGCCTTGAGGTCACATTTCTGTGGAGTTCTTGGTCTCCTTCATAATTGCTGTTACAAGCTGATTTGTGCCAGCAGGTCAGCTAGCCTTCTAGTTTCCTGAGCAAACCCAAACATGAGGATTGCTATTTTAATTGATTTTACATGTAGATTGTGTTAGTTACTTTTCTGTTGCTGTGACAAAACACCATGACCAAGGCAACTTATAAAAGAAAGTGTTTTAACTGAGCTTTTGGTTTCAAAAAGTTAGAGTCTGTGGTGGTGAAGCAAAGACATGGCAGCAGGAACAGCTGAGAGCTCACATCTTGATCCGAAAGGAGGAGGTAGAGAGACAGCACACTGGCAATGAGTCTTTTGAAACCTCAGAGCCTACCCCAGTGACACACCTTTTCTGACAAGGCCACACCTCCTAACCCTTCCCAAACAGTTCCACCAACTCAGGACCAAGTATTCAAACATATGAGTCAATGGTGGCCGTTAGCATTCAAACAACCGTGTCACTATAAAAAAGTTCAAATGATACAAAAGAAATGAAAAACAAGTCTTTCCCCCAAACTAAGTCCTTTCTGAAAAGAAAAAAAAAAGTACATGATGTGGATGGGTGAGCAACATAGGTGATTCCTAGAGTAGCACAGGCTACATAGTGAGTCCCTGACTTAAAAAAAAAATCTAAACAAGAGCTAGGTGTGGTAGTGTGTGTTCTTATTCCCAACACTCAGGAAGTGGAGGCAGGAGGATCAGGAGTCATGGCTAGTCTCAGTATGTACATGAAGTTCACGGGACAGCTTTATGAAGCTGGGTCCCTCGTTTGCCTGCCTGTGGGTTCTGAGGATCACACTCAGGCCAGCCAGCTTGCACTCTAGGGTGGCAAGAGCCTTGACTTGTTGGGCCCAAAGCCTGGCTCTATTTCCACAGCATTGAGACCACAAGTGCACACCACCACACCCGATACGCACCTGTTTCTTACGTAAGTTCTGGGGTTCTAACCCAAGTCCTTGTGCTTTCAAGTGAAGTTGTTCATCGGTTTAGCTGCTTCCCAGCCCCAGAAAGATGGTTCTTATTCCACTAGAAGATAGATGTAGAAAGCTCTTTCGGGGGGGGGGGGGCTGCTCTGCCTTATTCTATGCGGCTGCCATCTCCTCACATTTCCATCCATCTCTGAGGATATCACTAGGTGATATCAGGTTCACATGTCCATATGTCTGTCAGAGGTCTCTGTGGCATCCTAGTCACCTGGTGAGGAAGGTGTTTTGCAGCGACTGGGCATCTTGGCCCTGTGGTTACTGTGGCAAGATCTCTCCATAGTTACTGCTTTTCCCAAGGGTTGCCTCACAGGCTTTACTGGAATTGCCCAAAAAAAGAATGGAGGGTGAGACTTGATTCCCGGAAAACACCTGAGAAATCGGGGGAGGGGGAGCAATCATTCTGAAGATGCCTGAGCCTGGAATCCAGGTAATAAATCCAGGAAGATAATGCAGATAGAAACTGCTTTGTTTCCCCTCGTTCAGTGCCCTCCCTGCTCAGACACTCCCTAGAACTCAGTGGAAAGCAGCGTCTTCCCTCAGGTAGATTTTTCTAGAAGACTGAAAATAACCTGTGGGTGGAAGGACTGACAGCCACTGCGGGAGAGATAAGGAGGGTGGAAACATTCCCTGTGCTGGTGTGGAAGGCAGCAAGCAGAAAAGCAAGCTGTTCCAAGGTTTGACAACGGTTCCCTCTTCATTTTCGCCTTTCTTCCCCTCATGGGGTGGTGCCAGGTACATTCAGAGCAAGGCTTCTCCCATTAGTGAACCCCCCTCGGGAAGCATGCTCACAGAAAACCCTGAGTGTGCCTTACTAACCTAGCCATTAATCAAGTTAACAATCGGTTGTGGTTAATGAGGAGGCAGACTCCGTGGGCTTCCCAGATCACACAGTCAGGGTGTGGCAGTCAGAGCTCAAACTCTGTGTGCTCCAGGCCCCGCCCCCTGAACTCCATGATCATCGTTGTTGTTGTTACTCTGTTTGCAGTGCGAAGGATTGAACCCAGGGCCTTGGGCATGCCAGACAGGTGCTCTACCACCGAGCTGTAGCCCCAGCCCTTGTTTTTTTTTCAAATCGGGGGGTCTCACTATGTAGTGTAGGCTGTCCAGGCTGGCCTTGAATCTTGAACTCTCTATAGAGCCCCACACCGACCTCCGGAATCCTTTGGCTTCTCAAGTGCAGATGTGGGCCATCACACACCTTCCTCTTACTCCTGTTCTCACTGGCTTAACCCCTGGCCCTTCTTTGTTCCTTGCTGGCTGCCTCCCTTCTAAAGTGTAGCGTATAGTAGATCCAGTCAAGAATCTCAGAGGCCCGTGCCTCTCCCCAGCAATTTCACCAGAAGGGAAATCTGTTTCAACCTGCCCAGCACCTCCCTGCATGGCCATAGTGTGGCTCCCAGAATGCCTGCCTCCTGGTGCCAGTTCCGATCTAACGTCAGGGACTGAGACCTTGTTCTGCTCAGCTGACCGCTTGTTCCCGAAAGCCCTCCTCTTCTTCCCTAAAGGCAAAGGAAAGACAGCTCCCTTTTTCTACTAAAACAAGACCATAATCTTTCTGCTTTTGCCTCTGAGGGAGGAAAAAGAACCCATAATAATCTACATCACAGCAGATCTTTAAAATCCTTAGACTCAGTCAGGCTTGTTGGTACAGTATTTATTAATCTCAATACTCAGGAGGCAGACGCAGGAGGATTACCGCCAGTATAAGGCCAGCCTGGTCTATGTGATGAGATCCAGGCTAGCCTGGGTTACGTAGTAAGACTTTGAACAAAACAAAATCCTTAGATTGAATCCCACCTTTTTTTATTTTATTTAGATAAGGAAACTAAATGGAGGTGGGTCTGGTGGCACTTACAGGTAATCACAGCATTTGGGAACAGAGGCAGGAGGATCACACTGAGTTTGAGGTCAGCCTAACCCACAAGTGAGTTCCAGGCTATCCAGGGAAATAAGAGACCATGGAAACAAAATCTCACACACACACACACACACACACACACACACACACACACACACACACACACCAAACAGACAGCTGAACATTGGGTCTACTTAACTAGGAGAATATTCTAGTTTCATTTCTTTCGTTACAATAAAACACCCTGATCAAAAGCAATTCAGAGGCAGAAAGGATTTATTCTGCTTACATTTCCAGGTTACGGTCCATCATTGAGGGGAAGTCAAAACGGGAAAGTAAGGCCCGAGTTGCGTCACATCCACAGCCAAGAGCAGAGAGAAACAAACATATAGATGATGCTGCCTCTGTGCAGCTGGCTTTCTTCACTCTGGTACAGTTCCAGGCCCAGACCAAGAAGTTGTGGTGCACACCGTGGGCTGGGTCTTTCTACACCAA